CGGGGCGGAAGCGCGCGGCCGAGGGCACGCGCTCCCCGCGGGACGGGGGGGGCCGCCGCGCCACCCTCCCCCGGCACAGAGCCCGACGCACAGCCAGGGGCACAGACGGTTTTATTTAAGGACAGGAAAAGGTGGCGCTCCCCCCTCAGCACAGCGGGCGTTCAAGTGCGCACCCTAAGTAAAACACAGAGGTCGCAGCGGCACTATAGAACATCTAAGTTATACCGGGCATCCATTAACAAAATATACAAAGCCAACAGAAATATCTCTCTTCAGCCTGAGCAGATGGTGCCTAAACCCCAGTAAAAAGTAATCTAAAGAAAACGCGTTTCACACCTCACATTTCCATCTGCAGTGAAGTGCTCCTCCTCAAAACATTTTAGTGTTTTGTTAATTCACGGAACACGCGAAGCGTGGAAGGTGCACACAGAAAGAACTTCTGTCCTGCTGGGCAGTTCAGACCAGAGCAGATGCTTACAAGTTTCACCAGCTACTGCACTTCATCCATGTCCTCTCCTCCTCCTCGTTCTAGAGTAGGCGTAAGCCACACGGTACCCAGAACAGTAAGCACAAGTTAAGGTGAGAAAACAAACAGCAGTTCCAAGTTATAGAGAGATATTTGTCTGGTCCACAGCAGACGGTTGTATATTGGTGTACAGAGATGGGAAACACCGCAAAATAGTTCTACTGTATTTCAAAATAAACATTTGAGAGTATATCTTCCACAATCTATAAAAATAGGTTTAAAACAAAAATGGTATGATACATTTTTTTCCTTCAATTATTTTAATGGTATCTTATCTCTAAGGATATCAAGTATTTTGAAAACATTACTACTGATCACCTGGTCAGTCACAGTACTGAAACTACTTCAGTTGTGACAAAAACAGGAACATCTTCCTTTGAAGCAGCAATAACAAAACATTTTAGGATTGACGGTCTCTTTCTTACCACAGCAAGGGAAAAAACGTTTGCTTGAAAGTAAGAACATCAACACTGCTGTCACCTTCAGAGGGACTGGACTCTGAGAAGTTGTCTATGGATACACCACTGCTCAGCAGTGTATGCTGCTCATTTGTAATGATTCTTCAGAATCAAGTCTCTCAGCATGTTTCGAAGGGAATTCTTAGATTTCCAAATTAAATATAAGCATCTGAAGCAAAATCTTGTGAGAAAAATTAATCCTACAGATGTGTCTATGGAAACACAGGAGCAGCTAGAACCATCACAGGAGACTGTACACTTAACTGCTTAAGTTAAAGCATTTTTTCCAACTATAATGTCAGTCACACAATCCCTACCTTAAAATACTCTTCCAATTCCTAAACATTACCAGAATTTTTACTCCAATTTAGGTCTGGGTTTGTATACATTCTTCAATTCTTCGATGTGGTATTAACAGAATAAGAGGTCTGCACTATACTGAAGAGACAGTGGTCAAATTTTTAATGTTTTTACAAAGAGTCTGTAAAGATTCTTAAAAAGGTCTTTCCTACCCTTACACTCCATCTTTAACAAAATATTTCATGTAGGCTATATCTTCCTCTCAGAGATGTTTTGCACTGTCATTGCTAGTGATGGTTCAATTGCTGCTGGTAAATTTGCTCTCCTGCTTCATTCTGCTACAAGAAACAACGACTTTCCTGGTATTCATCAGTTCAACAGTGGTGATGTTACAATTTCAGACTTTTCAAAAAGTTGTTTGATGGTTCAAGATGGCTTTTGTGTACGAGTAACCTTTTTCTTCCAAGAATCACCTGTAAGATTTAAGTCTGTTACATTACTATTATGCGTTGGACAAATCAATTATTAAATCACGTCAGAAAAAAACACTTGCGAGTTGTGGGCTTCTCTTGTAAATTAGGCAAGGCTACCTTTCACAGCAGCATTTTACATTGTTTCCTATTCCAAAGCTTCTTAGCTTGTTATAAGTCAACAAAACAAGTTTCCAGCTGCCTAAAAAAATCCAAAGCCTTACACACGATAAAAGGGGAAGTTCTCATCTGCGTGGAAGTTTAAAGTAATTCTATAGGATTCCCTGATAAAAGGATTCTGTACGAAATTAGAGACTTAAAGACTACTCATTTTAACTATGAGGTCCAAATAACAGTTGAAATTCTGGTCTCCAACTCATATGATGCTGTCACAAGCACGGTTTTGACATTTCCATGAGAAAAAAGGTCAAAAGCTCAAAGAAAAGCCAAAGTTTTAGTCATCTCTCCAAACCCAAAACAGCTGAGGAGCCGTCTGCTACTGTTGCAGTGTTTAACGAGACTTTCTCAAAGACCAGGATTCCTCCCTGCACCAGGGAGGTTCAACATCTACCGCTGTACCAGTCACTGTTACTGATCTGAAGCAATTCAGTTACCACTTGAACCATGTTATTCTTGTGTTTCTTCAGCAGCTGCAGGTTTAACTGCCTGTCACAGAATCCCATCTCACACAGACTGGACAGAAGAGCGGCCGTGTGCTCTTCCGTAGATGCAGCCTGCTGGAAACAAAAGATAGTAAGATAAGCTATAAGAGAGGTAACTTATTTCTGCCTTCTGAAGCAGTGGTCCTGCATTATACTGGAATACAATTAGGGCACACAAGTCCTTCTGTTTACAATTAAGCTGTTTATATTCACTTTCACTGTTCACTTAAAAAGGTGAATTACTACTCTTACATGATGCTATAAAAGACATGCTTCTATCCCCATGGTGTGGATCTCCCCCTTTGCTGGTGGAGCAGCATGCTTCAAAGGGACGCCATCGAGTTTAACATTTTACTGCTGCATATAGAATGTCTGTATGTTTATAAAACAGACCTATAATTTTAAGGTTGGCATTCTATGAAGCTCAAATAGCACACAGGAAAGATTTACCTGTTCTATTATGGGTGGTCCAGCAAATAATGCTTTGTAGGCAGAAGCAGCAACTGACAAAGCTCCTTTAACTAGTTCTCCTGCAATGCTGCTTCCTTGAGGGTATCTGCAGAAGAGTCAGGTATTACTTTAGGGTCAGTAAAGCCAAGTGTTTGTTTCACATGAAATGTAAGTCTCTCCCTGCTGATGTGCCACTGAGATTCAGTTCCTGTTGAAGAGGACCACCTATGATCCAAAGGAATCACTGCTGTTTGAGAATCCAGCTATCCAGGAAGCTCATTCCTTCTTTGTTGATACCTTCTATGAAGTTGTAGTTTTATGCTGAAGTACGTCAGTTTATAACGACTGACTATAAAGAATTAAATAGAGTACATCTATACATGAAAGCTGTGCACTGTGACACATCCATTTATGCCAGAGTAACTTCCATTTGTTTTCATTCAATTCTAAGTCACTTAATATTCTGCTCAATGTTTTGCTTTATTCCTCCAGTCTCAGCATCTTTAAGATGCTTAACTTTGTAGCTGCCTTAGGAAATCACTATTTTAAGAATCCTGAGATCTTCCAGAAAAAACACCACAGAATTTTAGAAGGATTGAGCTTGAACTCTTCATACACTTTTGCTTGCCAATTCTGCATCCTTCATATTTGTGTCTAAGTAGAAAAGGGAGATCTCATGAAAATATAACATTTTATAATTCAGCGTGTTTTCTTTACGAAGAGAGGCCTTTCTAACAAAATACTGACTACATGAAATCTGTAAGCCAGTGCTTTTTCCTAGGTGCCTAGCTTAGCAGTTCTTAGGTTAAAACAGTATTTGTGAAGTCACAGCTTCAGCTTCATTACCTTGGATATTCTGAGCACTTCGGTTTACTAGTTAGAACTCCAGAAGATCCTGATCCATGACTGTCCTCACCACTGGGTTCTGGAACAGGAATTAAAAATATCATTATCAACATGTTCAGTTAATGAGAAGCTAAAGAGATGCAACGTGTACATAAATGGAAAGGAGTGAGATTCGGTCCAGAATCTTTTCATTTTAGTTATCCAGACACAGACTACCTATACAGAATTCTCACTTCAGTCAAAACATAAGAATTTCAGAAGTCAATTGGCTGATTAGTCAGTGGGTGTTTAAC